CCCCTGCAACAGATTTTCATTGGAAGATGATTTTTTGAGAATTACGATATTGTGTATTCTCTCTCATACGAGCATCACGATTATCGATTTGGGAGCACTTTTAACTGCCTTTTCCGGTTATACCCTTTAACTCAGATTTTACCACTGATTTCATCAACTAGCAGACCGAATGCTCAAATCGAGCTTTGAAATCTCAGGGGGCAGGATCTTTTGGGGTATGAGAAAGTTTTACAACCAGACACGGAATCAGGTAAAACAGTGCGTATATTCTTCAGAATAAGACCACATATAACAGCACTGAACGAAATACAAAGACCAGATAGGAAATAACACAATATAACACAAAATCAAATTACCCTTTAAACACTTTTGAACTTTACATCATTTGTCAACTGTGACTCGAATATCTCTTCCTAATCAAATACCTTCACAAATGCTCGTGCACGGTAACTACTGCTTGACCAGCTCCGTTTGAAAATAACAAAACATTAAATCCCTGGATCTGATTGCTACAACGCAGAAAGTTCCTTGCTTCTACACAAATCTTTGATTCTAATAATCGCAACAAATTATCAAATGACTTATCAAACTACAACTATTCACAATTACTTTCCTTGAAAAGATTATACAACAATGATAAAAAAATGTTTTACACTGCTATTTACAATACATTTTCCCATAAACATAACTCACGAAAGAACTGTATTACTGGCTTACAAGGTTCTGTTTCCGTTATTTTGCCGTGATCTAGTTCGTACGACAATCTGCGTGATATTGCAAATTTAGAACTGTAGCCTTTCCGCTGCAGCTCTAGCATTTATGTCCCTTCCTGCTCTCAACTCCCGTTACAAAATTTATTACCTGCGGTTGCGCGCACAGTCCGCTGCTTGCAAACCTCTCTTCTTAGACGCCGCGTCCGACCTTGACCCAGATTCGGCTACTGTCGCTCCACACTCCCATCCACATGTCCTCGACGTTGCACTAGCGCTGTCGTCTTGTCGTCCTCCCCTCGGAATCAGCGCCTACACGTGTTGCTTGGTCCCAGGCTCCTTAAGCCCTCGTCTTCTTCGGCTCTTCGCTACACTTACTAGAAGCCCGCCGACGCGTGATATTCAGTCCTGACCCGTGTTACTAGCGTCGTTACTAGCGCCTTGGCGCAGCGCGCTCCTCAGAGGCCAACGCACCGCCCTCCGGGGTACCCGGAGCTGCCACCCATACAGTCACTAAGAGCCAGTTCTTAGCGATGTTTGAACGAATCTTCAATATGCTGCCCGACAATGTCAAGACAAAATCATAACGTAGACAAACGAATAGCACCTCTCCGCGGTTGCACTTGGAATTCGCGAAGTGCAATCTTGCACCCATGCAAAGCCCAGCAAATTGAATATTTTACTGTCGAACTGCAACTTGATATTTTGGCTTTACAAGAAACTTGGCTCAGTGATGAACAGGAATTCAAACTCCGGGGATTTGCTGTTTATCGCCGAGACCGCGCTGGCAGGCCAGGCGGCGGAGTAGCAATCGCGCTGCGCCGAGAACTGCCGCAGCTTGAAGCCGAAATCCCTGCTATTGCTCTGGCGTCTCTAGAGGCGGTCGGGGCGTACGTCTGGGTAGGAAACGGCCGACTACTAGTCGTATCTGTCTCCTGCCCAGACCAAACCTTAGATCCGGCTGGAATTGATGTGCTTCTTGCATTAAATTCTAAAATTATCATTCTGGGTGACTTTAACGCCAGACAGAGAACTTGGGGCGGCCTCGGAGCAAACAGAAACGGCAACAAAATTGCCAATCTTGTAGCGACAAGGCGGGGCGTAGATATCTGTTCACCGAATAGTCCCACGCATTTCCCGGTAGTACGCAACATGAAGACGGGTGTTATTGATTTTATGATTGTGAAAGGCATTGAGTGCGCGGTTCCCCGCTCTATTGCCGCACTGGATTCCGATTATAATCCAGTAACATGCATTGTGGCGTCCCTTGTAGCGAAACGCAAAATTAGTTTTTGAACTACCCGTGACACGAACTAGGCAGAACTCGCAACACAGTTGAATTCTCAGCTTGAGCTGAAACCAGTAAATTCGACAAACGAGATCGACGAAGCAGTGAATCGCTTCACTGTAACATTGAAATCGACATTTCAACAAGAAACAACTTTCACGCGAGCAGACATGTTTCGCCCTGGGCTCACAATTGAGTAAAGAAGGATCTTAAGAGGACTGCGCAGAACTGTCAAAGTCCATCGCCGCTATCGCGATCCCGTTGACGGGCGCGCAGTCAAAGCAGAGAATTCCGTCCATCTCTACGGGATGAAAGAGTTGCTCAATGGTCTGATACAGTTTCAAAATGCAATCTCCGTGAGAGACACATTTGGGATCTTTCTCGTGCGCTGCCGAAAAACGGAAGTAAACAGCCCTATTCAGAGCAACGCCGGGGCGGGGGCGCCCGGTGCTCTACCACCTTGACCAGTTTACGCGTGGGACGACGCAACAAAAAGCAAAATCTTCACGAATTCGCTTGCGTTGCAGTTCCGCGCGTTCGAAACGGGCGCCGCCTCGCTGCCATTGGCTACAAGAGGTACGGCAGAGACGGCAGAGAGACGGCCCTCGAGAGGCGGGCGTGCCTCAGGGGAGTGTTCTTTCTCCTACCCTCTTCGGCTTATACATGAATGACGGGAAACAAGAACTGGTATTCAACGCTGCGGGCTCCTGATGTTCTCGGATGATTTTGAGTACTACGCGAAATCGGCGAACGGAAGGCAGTCAGTTAAATACTTACGTGCCTTTCCTCCTTTCTCGCCTCCTTTCCTGAATGGCTATGTTGGAAACGTGGTTTATATAAAATATAGTTTAGGTATGAATGTGAGGGAGAATGAACAATAAAGAAGAAAAAAAGAACTTTTTTGAAAAACTAAAAATTAAATAAATAATGTTTTATATAACTAGCCTAGCCCAAAGTGGCAATGCAATTAGTTGTAAGTTAGCTTTAGTTAGTATATTTAAGATAATGCCCTCCAGAGCTGTAGAAGCCTTATCGGCTGCAACTATTGTATCCCTAGGAAAAATAAATTCTCGCCTCTCCAGCAGAACTGGAGAGGGGAAAATCAAGAAAAAAAAATAATTCCACCCGGTCGCGCCCGATTGGCCGACACCTCAGCCTATCACTGCTTGGTCCATCTAAAAAAATCAAGCGGAGTGCCTGGTGCTCCTTAAATAGACCAAAAGTTGGTCGAAACGTCGGCACGTAAGCCTTCGACGCGGCGCCACCTAGACAACCCAGAACATGACTTTGGCTGCGGAAGCCTACGAGATCAACAAATATGGTCATGTTCTATTTTTTGAAAATATGAGTAGTTTTCTTGTAATTTGGCGGGAAATATAGGCATTTTAACTTTTTAAACACTTTTCCGCGAAAACAGCTTCTAATTTTTTCTATACATTTTCTTCTTGTATGTATCAAAGGACGGTAAAAAGTGCTAGTCCCATTTTCGGCAAGCTCTCCGTTTTTGCGAAAATGGTAAACAAATAACAAAATTGAAAATCGAAAGTTACGGTTTAGACAAAATCATTGTGAAAAATCAGCCTTTTAAAAACGTTATGAACACTTTTTTGACAAAACGAGCAGATTACGCGTAATTTGTGTCTGACATAAATGCAATTTTTTCAATAAATCACAAAAATTGCTCCACTTATATCCTTTAAATTTAATTTATTTTTATTGTATATTTAAATTTAATTTAAGATTCATTTATGCAAAATCTTAAGAAAATATAAAAATACGGCCCTTGTCGCATTTTCGCGAACTCTCCAATTTTCGAAAAAAATTCAAAACTACAAAATTGAATATTATGATTTTTTCATTAAAGCCTATTGTAAAAAAACCGGCTCTTTAAAAAAGTTCATATATACTTTTTTTGACAAAGAGTAGATTTCGCGTAATTTGTGTCTGAAATTTATGCAATTAAAAACTAAATTTTCTCATATGTATTAAGGGACGGTAAAAAATATGGTGTATCATTTTCGTCAAACTCTCTGTACTTTCGAAAATTGCAAAAATTACGTGTTGGAAATATTGGTTTGAGATTGTTTTATTACATCGTTAAACTCCGCTCGAGTGAGCGCTGCACCGGTGTTCTGTAGCGTAGTGGTGTGCCTGACGGCGAGTGAACTCGAAAAACCTAAGTTCGAGACTCGATACGGAGAATGTTTTTTGCTGACTGAAAACACGTTTGCATGTTTATATAGTATAATATAGAGGAGCACTTAGTAATAATGCGAGCTGTCACTCACTCTTGTTTGAGAGTGTAGCTGGTCCGATAATTACACACTGCTGAGGAACATTTCTTCGTAGTAACAAAAAGCGCATCGTTCTGAATGTTTTCAATTCGCTTTTGCATAGGAATCCGTCGTTACCGGTTAATCAAATCTCAGAGTTCACTGGCATTTTCGTATCCAGCGTAATGAAACTCCGGAAAGAGATCACTGAATAGGGACAACTACAAATGCTAGAGAGAAAAGAAAGGGGAAGAAACGTGATTAAAGTATACGACTTTGTAGGCAGTGCTGTTCACTCGGAAGTGCATTCCTTGTATCAAAAGGGCAAACGTGCAGAAACGAAACACCAACGCTTGCGAAATTGCTGCAGTTTGTGAATTGTGATCGTGAACTTCCGAATTTTAGGGCAACCAATTTATACAAATAATTGTCAACATCCGGTTATCGACAACTACTTCGTGAAGCAGACTAATCGTAAGAAAAGTGAGTTGTATGAGAATGACATTTGCATGACAGCTCTTATTCAATTTGAATTGACGGGGTATGCTGCTCGCGTCATCGAAATTAGTGCACTAGGAGTTGTTCAATCAGAAGCGAAATGCGGCGCAAAGATTTCTTTTGTTTACATCAGGTTTTTTTCTTAGGGGGAACGGAAAATGGTAGTATATTCTAGCTCGTTGGATATGGCAGTACAAGGTCGTTTGTACAATTTACATCTGGTGTATTCTTCTTAAAGGCGAGGGTCGTTCGGGTGGTATCGGACAAGGTAGGATCGAGTGGTACCAACAGTTACTTCTTCGTCTTCTCTTCATTTCTCTGTATTTCTGGTGTATATATTGCTAGGAGGTAATATTCAAACACTAATGTGGATTTTGTCAGTGTTTCAGAAAACTATGAGTAAAAGTGGGTAGAAATAATATGAAGATAACCACTGTGAAGGTAATTTGAAAGAAAATGTCGGTAAGAGAGGCTAGTGCTAGATATTCTTATCCAAGAGTACACTAAGCGTTCGGGTAAAAATTTTGTCAAAAGGACGAGAAATAACAGTCAAGCCTAATACAGATAATAAAGGTACATTTAAAAGAACATTTGACAATAATCAAGATGTTTTATATAATTACGTTAAAGCTTTGGATACCTAGCTCAAGCCGCTGAGTAAATCAGTTTTTAAAACTCACCCACCAATTTGCACAAAAACTAAATATCAACCATCACTTCAATACAGAAACATATTGACAGGAAAATATTTTTTTGTTTTCGTGAGAAGACACCCCGACCAAAGTTTGATAACTGATGGGCCAACAAGCCTGCAGCGCGCTCAGTAAATATCAAGTCACTACATTCTAGACTAGACTAGATTCTTTGACACGCATGGTCGGTGTTTTATGTGTTCACAACAATATGGTGAAAGTCATGCCAGTAAAAGAAAAAAGTTTGGGAAGCTTATCTCTGGGGCGAGAGGTAGAACCGTGACCATTCTTCTGGCCATAAATGTAACATGTGACCAGATCATTCCTTCATTGTTTATTCACGCGTGGAAATGAACAATGATTTAAAGAAAAATGCTCCTTTAGGAAGTACTTTTAATGGGGAAAAGTGTTAATGGATCACGAAGGAGGGCTTCTAAAATGGTTGCACAGTTTTGTTGAACAGGTAAATCTTAGTGCGAAAAATCCTGTCATGTTAATCGTGGATGGTCACACAAGTAACAAGAACTTTGATGTGATCCTTTATGCCAAGGAACATCACATTCACATGCTTAGCATATCCCTACCCCATAATTCCCACAAACTCCAACCGTTAGACTGGACCATCATGAAACCCTTAAAAAAACTCATCCAATGTTCGTTTTTGTTTTTTAATTCAAGAACTGTTCTTTTCCCATGTAACCAAATATTCAATTTTACTTTGCAATATGCATTGTAATTTTTTCTCAATAAGGACCTATCTTGATTTATAGCGGTGATAAAAGCTCCATTAAAATTATTTTACCGTTATTTCATTAGTTGTCCGATATCACTCTCCACTTGAACTTCAGTTAATTCATGTAGATGGTCAACGATTTTTACTATCCCCTAATACAAATATTATTTTACTTTCAAACCAAACAGTTTTGATAAAATCTGTGAATGAGATATTGATGTATTATATTTCACTAGGAAATTTTAAAAAATGGATCTGTTTTTGAGAAACATTTGTTTAAAATCATTTACAAATTTCCCATATTTCACGAAAAAATACGTGAAAACTAATCATACTATCGAAAAATTGTACATGACCTTATGTCAAGATCTTTCTTTAAAGAACAGATTTCATTAAAGAAACAACTCCAATCATCAATATTGTAGCTGTAGGAAGACACCGAAACAAATTAATGTTCTGAATTTTTCGCAAATCAGGGATTTCAACGAAAATGCACCATTCCTTTAAGTGTCCTTTACGTTCTCACAGAAAAAGTGTTAAAAAATGTTGAGTAATTTTTGAAAAAAGTTTGAAAATGTTGAGGCTTCAATAATGTATTCCCAATATCGGCAGGTAATGCGGACTGAGCGGGCAAAACAGACTAGACTGTTTAATACTATACTGAAAAATGAATACCCGGGAAACGCCATATATTCAGCTAGTCACCCAATAAAGAATAACGAATTGTGTGATCGGAATTGGCCCTGCAGTGGGTGTGTGGGCTACGGATCAAGTGTGAACATGACTAATTCATGAATTAGCCAGTTAATGCTCATATTATCCAAAATTTGTGTATACAGAGAAAGCCCAAAGTATGAACAGCTTCTAAGCTGACTTATGACTTATGAAGTCGACATTAACCAACACAATGTAAATAGAGTAGATGAAGTGCGTAATGGCGGCGAGGAATAGCAGAAACCGTAATCAGGGACCAGATTGCTGGTCGAAAGATTCTATGAGTTCAGGTGTATAATTTCCGTCCCATTGTGTCAGTAGTAATTGTGTACTAGTAACACATTACCACCGAACCTAACCTGTTTATACCTCAGTTAACTCTTCGCCACATATTACCGAGTTTGTTTTTAGGTTTTCATCCATGCTCGGTAAGATAATGTATTGTAATCATGCGCCTAGAAAACAACGGCGAATTTTCGACATCAAAACTCTTAGTGCCCTGGTAACGAAACTAGTGGTCCGAGTTACAAGTATTGAGCCATACAACCCTGGTGTTATCAGTGAGGATTGCTATTTTCCTTCACCAGTAACTTTCAAACTTTTTAATAATGATTGCATAGTTGCAGTTCAACATGAAAATGAAGTCTCATCTTCCTCTTCTCAGATAAATGTTAGTATCCAATCAAAAGTGCATCTTCCTCTACATGAAAAACAAGGAGATTCAAGTAAACTATCTAAAAAGTCTGAGATCGCGATATTGTTTTCATTCTAAATGTTTTAGAGATGAAAGAAAAGGAAAAGCGAGAATTAGAGGAAAGAAAGGTCAATCGATCTCACCAGAAAATTAAACGTGGAAAAAAGAAATTGAAGAAGGAAACGGAAAATCCTTGAAAGCAAAAACCAAAACGTTTGTGAATAATAAAAATCCGGTTCCCTCGACACGTTTGACAAATCATGACGATATAATACACCCATCCTGCGAACAATCGTGGGATGAAGATGGGATTCAGTGTGGAATATATATGAAATAGTGGCATGAGGAAGGTTTCAGTTACGAAGGCACAGGCGTTTTTGTATGCCACTACCGCTAATTTTTTCCGTTCTGCGCACTCTTACCCGCCACGCAATGTAAGGGTACGCATTCCGTCATTTTTTCGTCTATCTGGTAATTAACATTTTTTTAAAGTTACGATTTTAATTTTTGTACCCTTCTTTGTGAGATCATACACTAACTCTCAGCAAAATTTCAAAGCTCTGACTATTCAACCCTCATTTTTAAAATGAAAATGCCACTAGATGCGTACTCTATTCTTTTTTCCATTACAATTTGCGAAGTACTTCGGAATTATGTTTGACAGGTCACCGGATGTATTTCATTATGATCGAATGCCAAAAGTTATTCGATATGTGCTGTAAAATGCGGCAAAGGAAAGGCTGAAGTACGGGAAGTATTTTTAGGGTTTTTCCCTTTGAACGGTAAAATAGCAGCTGATATCAGTTCTGACTTACTTAAAAAATTAGAAAATGATGGATTAGATATGATGTGCCTTGAACAAGGTTGCGATAATGCTGCTACCATGGCTGGAATTCTTGGACGTTAACTAGCAATTACCAAAGAAAAGAATGAGAAAGCTTTTTCAACGAGTGCATAAATCATACTCATAACTTATGTGGACAGCATTCCCTTGGCGCAAATGCATCTGCTATAAGTTTTTTTTAACTATTGAACAATTGTATACCTTCTTCGCTTTTTCGACCCATCCTTGGGGTGATTTAATTAAACATATTGGGATATCACACAAAAGAGTTGTTACAGCACTTTGGAGTGCTCATTATGCTGCAGTCTTACCAGTGAAAGAAAACTTTGACCAAATTGTAGCTGCAATTGAATCACTTATTACAACGGAGGAAAAGCCACCAAATTTTCTTTCTGCCTGCCTGAACGAAAAGCTCCAAGTTCAACTCACATGCAAGCTGCGTGTGTTTATTGTTTTGTTGACGAGTTAACAAGCAGAGAAAATCATTATTATTATTATTATTATTATTATTATTATTATTATTATTATTATTATTATTATTATTATTCAGGAAGTATTGATTTTTCCATTTTAAATTAGTATTCTGCTGATTTTTAGAATTTCTTGATTGTCTATAATTAAATCTGATTTTACCGAATCAATTTACTACCGTACCTATATTACAACAGATACAGTGAATCAGGGGCGGATCCAGATACGAATTTTCGGAGGGGAAATTCAAAATGTTTTGTTCGAATGTCATATTACAGATTTTGCAAAATGTCGCAGGCTACACTGAGCTCATGCTACGGTACGATTTTATTCGTTGTAATGATTGTCCGAAAATATTTTTGTTTGATAGCTTGCTGACAAATTAAAATTAATAGATACTGAAAAATATTAGGCGGGGACCGGATTTTCCTAATTTTCCTCCTTGTGGATCTGCGCCTGAGTGAATGAACTACTACGTACACCGTTTTCTCGTCTCAACGATGTAAAAAAGAGATAAATTTAGGACAATGGTCGACCAACTTCTATGTTGAGTACTGTTACATCGCGCTGATGAGAAAAATGCAAGAAAATTCAATCCGTGGTACGATTCACACAAATCGCTAACAAGTCATGAGCTTAATTTTATTGTTGGTCATACCTTTTATTGTGTATTAAGGAGAATTCTTGGAATATAGATGGGTTTTTTGACATGGAAAATTTATCAAAAGGTATCTAAAGACATGGAATGTCAAAAGAGCATATAGGTAATTCAGTGAATCTTAAACGCCTGCAAAAAATTTTTAGAATCGGAATATGTTAAAATCACGTCTGCGCGTGCTTCACGGAAATAATACTTTGGAATGTTATGATATCAATGAGGCAATTGTTTGAGTAAATATTTAATTTATACATGGTAATTCAATTACCATAAAAATGGATTGTGGGGGGGGGGGGCGTAGCCCATATGCCCCCTTTCCGGAATCGGCGCTGTTCAGTAATCTGATCTGCCTACCCTACATATTTGTTCACGAGTCGCCACTAACAATAAAACAAATATCGTCTTATTTTTGACAATTAATAAGGTAATTCATCAAAAAAAGCTTCATTTTACAATCACGACATTTCGCATGTAAGTTTTATGCATTATCAGGTGTGTAAAGAAAATAAATGTTAATAAAATAAATCTTATTTCTAAGACCCAGATGATGCTTCGAACCATGGTGGTTATTTCCACATTCGTGAAATCTACACGCGGAACGCCGGGATTGTAAAATAAAGACATTTTTACCCTATTGAATGTCTAAAATATAAAGATATTTGTGTTTTAATGAAACGTTTTATGATATTTTCCAAGGTAAAATGTACTTGTCGACTGAACTAGCTGCACATTCAAAACGTTCGCTCAACATCTCACAGAACGTGCACTCTTCCATCTTTATAGTAATCTGCATTTGCGATCCTTGTGGCAAATCTGTAAACTTACCTATTCATCTCTATGTTTTATAGGAAGAAACCAAGAATCGTGAAGCAACTGTGCAGTCGCTGTTCTTGCTTGTGTGTGTTCCAACTCTACGTGTATGTACCTTGCCGGTAGCAGCTGATTTTGAGCGATTTGTGTATGATGCCGAGCGTGAGAGTGGGGCATGTGAACAGTGTAAACAAAATGTCAAATTGTGAGTGCAGTTTGTAGTTGTTCCTTAGTGTAATCTGGTACATATTTTGTAGTTGTATTTTTAATATAATTATCCAATGAGATTGGCAGGAGTGTGAAAGTGAGCGAGATTCTTTGCAAACATTCGTGTGTTCGAATTGGTGAGTGACGTTTTCAGTCAGTGATAGAAAATTAAATTTCGGAATTGTTTTCATTACATGATTCTGCCAATACTATTCTGTGGGGGTGTTATTTCGCCTCGAAAATATTACAGTAATTATGCACTTAATTTAAAAAAAGCTGCGGAAAGCACTGAACAAGGTTCATTTTTTAAAAACGTATAGCGGAGAATTTTGTCTATCGGGCATTGCTATGCAGTGAGAATATCGAATGAACTGGTTTTATAATTGTTTCACTTTAGCCATGAATTTGTTTTTATAAAATATGGAGTACTTAACATTACAGTTTTTTAATGTTGACAGAAACAAACATTCATGTTCAGATTGTGATAAATTCAGGTGGCAGTTGTCGAATTTGACGTATAGGCAGACGTTTGTTACTCATAAAACAAGTTGTAATTAATTTATTCTGATTTAATATGTTTGTCATCTCCCAAAATTATGGTATATAATGAGATAAAATCAAAAATTTGTCATGACAGTTTCCTACATTAAATCTATTGCATGCATCAGGGTTGTACATTCTGCTTTTTTGATTGACACTTAACAGGAACATAAAAAAAATGAAGAGAACCTATTATACAATAATGATACTGATTTGTGAATAAATGTAGTGTTGAAGATTTGCAGTTGTGAAGGGTTTTTAGGAATTCTTGCATGATGATCTCTTCACATTTCTTTAGTTTGCTCTGCGACTGTTTTCATTAAACAACAATTAGCAAATAGGCTTCTTTTAGTCAAAAAATAAGACTTTTGACAAATACTAGACTACTGCAGAACTGAGATATGGATATAATAGATTGTATAGGAAGATAAATGTGAAATCATGTGGTTAGGCGGAAGAGCAGGCCCTATGGCCTGAGCCTCGCCATTAATAAAGACATTATTATTATTATTATTATTATTATTATTATTATTATTATTATTATTATTATTATTATTATTAAATCATGGTTCTAAAATGTACATGCCACAGATGGTTGACTCTTCATAAAATTGAAGACTGCTGGGAACACAGTGGACCTAATCTTTGATACTCATGCAGTTGAATTCTGAGAAAACACAACCAACAAACTGTAACAAATATTAGTGGCCTGCAGCAGCGAAAATGCTCCTGAACAAAAATGTAAAAAGGGTTTTCCAAAAAGTTTCAGCATGCATACTGCTCAAGAACAACAAAAATTAAAAACCTTTATTTAAATACAGGAGTCCGCGGTGGAAACGTTGACTCTTTGCAAATAAGCTCTTAAGACAATTTTAAGCATATTTTGCCTAATAAATTACTTGGATATTCCAAATGGTTAAGACGCTGTAGGCACTCAAAAGTTAGTTTGAAAAAATACTTTCTAGGTAAAAATTTGTCTTGTAAAAGCATAGAAACACTCCAGAAACATGAGAATTGTTTATTATTTACAAAAGAAATGAATATGTTTGTTCAGAAGTAATCATTAACCCAGAAATAAGCATTTAAATTGTGTAAATTGGATGCTTTTTTTTTTCCTGTGTTAATGTTTCTTTTTGAACAATTAAATTAATTTCTTTTGTAAATAATAAAAAATGTACATGTTTCTGGAGTGTTTCTATGCTTCAGTAATACAAATTTTTGCCTAAAAAGCATTTTTTCAAACCAACTTTTGAGTGCCTATTGCAGCTTAACCATTCGGAATGTACTTTATTAGACAAAATCTGCTTAAAATTGTCTCGAGAGCTCATTTGCGAAGTTTCGACGTTTCCTCGCATTCTCACAAACACGTGTATACAATACAACGGTTCTTTACATATCAAGAAAATCAAAAAGTTACTGTTCCATAATGCAACACATGGATTGAAAATATTTAATGATCGAGTGGATTCCTCCTTGGAATGTAACAACCAATGGCAACACAGTTTGAAAAACTGTTACTGATAATAAAGGAAATAAAAAAAATTGGATTTATTATTATAGAAATTAAATAGTCTTATGGTATTCATTCTATGAAAGTTTGATTTTGTCCCGTCATTTGTCACAGGTTACCAGTAGTACTTTAATAATGGTTTAATCAGAATATTTTATAATGTTGTTAGTGTAGTTGTGCAGATGACGTCTGAACTATGTCCTTTCACAGAACCTTACATCCTTAAAATTTGTTTGCAGTATGTCAGAACATTTATATGAAACCAAAAAAAAACACCCTTTTTGTGAGTTTTGTGTCCAAGTAAAAAACGAAGTCTTTTGTTTCTGATTATCTTTCTATTGGTTTGTATTTTTTCCTGATAGCATTTAAAGGTATGTAAACAATGTGTCATAACTGGATTCAATGTGTCATAACTGGATTCTCAACAATAGAGCAAAAATGTTTTTTTAAAAAGGGCTGTGAAGAGAACAAATATGGAACATTCGGTTTTAGCTGTCTCTGAAATGCTCTGTGGAATAAATTTACAAGAGTTGTAGATTGATTTGAGTTTTATACATAAATTTGAAAATTACAAATAATAAGAAAACGTGTCGAGAGATAAATTTCTCACATTCAATGATTTTGCTATCTTGCAATTTTTTCTTTCGGCTTATTCTACAAGATGGAAATAAAATGGAATTAATGAAAAATGCATCATATATGCCTTCTAGAAGAACAAAATGGTTTTAGATTAAATAGATAATGTATAGACTGTGTTCTCAATGAACCAGCTTATAGAGAAGTATGGGAAAACATAATTATACATATGGTTGTAGATTTTATAGACATTGAAAAGCAATTGATCAGATAAATAGGGGAAAAGAATGGAAAATTCTAGAAGAATATGGTATACTACAGCACTTGATTAGAGCAATACAAAGTATGTATCATAATACTAGTTTCAGAATATGTGGCACTGACAAAATCAGCAAAGAGCATTGAGTAATTAATCAAGGAGTACGACAAGAGAGTCCAATGACACCTGCCTCAAATTCTAAAATACCATATTACATTTAAGATAAAATGTTAAACATTGTGTTATTTGCTGATGATTTGTTTATAGTACCCAATTCTAGAGACAATTTACAAATAGTAGTATTCTCTCTCTACATCATTGCATTGGAATACAATATGAATATATAATTTACAAAAACAAAGGTATTTGTCTTTTCATGAAAAGAACCAGAAAGGGCCAAAATTATAATTGATAATAACAACTTAGAACAAGTTAATCATTTTAACTATTTATGGTGTGACATCTCATGATAATTCCAATTATTTTGAAAAGAAACTGCACTTATACCAAGAAATTATTGGTACATTTAAATATGGATACTAGACACTTAAGTTAAAAGTAGATACTATTCTGAGAACAAAGGGCTATACCATCACGTCTATATAGTTCTCGTAGTTCCTTGGACCCTCACAAAAAGAGATGTGGAGGGAATAAAAGCATCAGAAATTTGTCTCTTTGGACCTTTGGGTTGTTACAAACTGGAAACCATAGGAGAAATGAAGATATTGATGGGAATTGGAAATAACATCAGTGTGTGAAGCAATAATACAATATCAGCAGAACTGGCCTGAACATCTGATATGGATGAATCCAGACGGGTGGCTCACCTGACATTGGAAAACATCCTCGTAAGAAGAAGACAGTGCGTGTCCCTTTGAAAGTGAGAAGTACTGCCACAAGACTGAATGCTTGTTATTGAAATTGGCCAATGGCTCAAATTGAAATGTTCTTGATGATGATGAAAGTTTTCCCCTCATGATGCTTTGTATTTGCCCTGTTTTACTTCTTTAGTTATTATAATCACCAGTAATCTTCATTAATCCTTATTGCTCCTTTTATACTTCCTTTGCCATAATTTTATCTTTTGTTGTAAATGACTGACTAAAATCAATTTTAATCCTTTTTCAATTTATTCTATTTCCAGATGTGCCAAAATATTATCATGTTTGGTCAACGAAAGGTTGATATTTGATTTCTGAAGATAATTCATACATCACGTAAGTACATGTTGGAATTAAATATGTTTAAATCCATATTAGATCATTAATCATCCAGTAGGCACTAAGAAGCACTGAATGCTTCACGATCTGCTCTTGTACAACTCTACGTCTTGCATTGAATTGGTGTGCTCCAATTTGAGATGTTGGCAATTGGTGGTTTTGGCTAGCAGATTGAATCATTCATTATTGCATCTTATTGGTGATCAGTCATAAGCATGTTTATTTTGTGAACAACTTCGTGCTGCATGCACATGTTGACAAATTGTTGCAAACCTTTAACTTGTACTTCGCTTTTTCAGTAAAATATAATGTTTGTTATTAATACGTAATAATGTATGTTATGTCATATATTTGTAAATAATATATATCCAACCTATTTTGTTTACACATATCAACATGGTTTTAGTTTTCTTAGATCACATGACATTTAACTTTAGAGAGACATATAGTACACCCTGTGAAACATGTCTCTGTATCTTTTCTTTCGTAATTTTGATACATTCAGTTTATATTACCTATGAATATTTATTTCTTGTTGATCTCATAGTCTTTTAAGAGAACATTGAATTGCAAACTATTGCAAGGTGTTCTAATAATTATTACCTACAATTACTATTACATACAATTGCTGTTTACTGAAAGATGGATGAAAATGAGACTGGATTTCAGATCACTATCCCTTTTCCGCTTTTAATTGTGTTCTGTGTTACATTTCATGGTTTTCCCATTAGTAAAGAGATTCTTTTTTTCTTATATAATATATATATATTAGTATAAATCATATATATTATATATTAGTATATACTATATATATATGTATATATATATGTATAATATATATGTATATATACTATGTATATATATAAATGCTATATATATTATGACTACTCATATATATGTATATTATCATGTATATATATATGTAGTAGTATATATATGTATATATATATTGTATATATGCTATGTATCATTATATATGTATATATATCATGTTAGTTATATTGTATATATATGTATTTTGTGTGTGTGTGTAAAATATGAAGTTGAAGTTCTTGGTTTTAAATTTTAGTTTTAATTTCAGATTTAGACTGGATTCTAGAGACTGAATGTTTATTCCATGGTCTTTATTTATTGAACAATGCAACCAGAAAAAGAGGAAGTTGTCAAGGAGGATGTTACTGGTAGTAAGTTGATTATATTATTCTATATCTTCTGTAATGTGTCCTTTAACTTATTTTCTATTACTGAATATTTCTACAGCCAAATGAAATCCATTTTATTTCTGTTAATTAGTTTGAATTTGTAATTTGTTTGTTTTCCTGTTAACATTCCCTATTATTGTTCAATTTTTTAAAATTATTTTTTTACAATGTAGCTGGTGTTAGATTTTAAAATATAATATATAAATGGACAAATGAAGTCCACTAAAGAGGTAATGATTTAGCAATGTTTTAATTGTCACGAGCAAATGAAGTGATTAAAAATTCTGGTGGCCTACTCATAACTTAACAGAGTATAGATATAATCACTGTGGCCAAATCAGGAATATTAATATGATTTCCATGTACCTATGGCTGTTAGAAAACATTCCTACTCTAATTCACCTATTCCTGTTCGGGTGTGTCCACCAAGTTTAAACTCATAGTTGACAAAGTTCCTACTTTCTGAATACACCTTCAAAGAAATGCTAGAAGTATATAACATGAGCAGCCAAAACTACACATTTTTTTTACCACTTCCCCTTATCAAAAAAACAAAACAGTAATGATTGGGCGAATCAAATTTCTTCATTTTCAAAGAAGAACCCTGTTGTTGTGTGAAGAATGTGCCTTAATTTCTATTTGAGGAGCGAAGAAGATTCTTTTGTGTCATTGAAAAGAGAAAAAAAAATGTAGACAAATCCAATCCATTGCAGTATGATTACTGTTTTGCAGAATCAGCAAGTCATATATAAGATAAATGTCAGGGATCATCCTTTTTAAAAGGGGAATATAAAAGCAATCAGAACAAAGGTTTTTATGCCAGTAGCAATCCTGTCATTTACGAGGAGTATATCCAGCAAGTATTTCAGTATGTGGGGTAAGGGGTAAGGTTCTACCTTGTAAATATTCTTGAAATTCTGAGTTTTTAAAATTGTTTGAAATAAGAAATGCATATTGTGGCGTAATACAGGTGTAATCGAACACAGATGAGAGTGGTTTGTAAAACAGTAGATTTATTAACCATCTAGACCGTAGTCTCAATTTAACAACTATCCTGCTTACAATAAACTAAATAAATAGACTCACTACAAGGAGAAATAATTTAAGAACGGCTACCACACCGCAACATATCACTGATGTTCCGTGTATGAAGCCGCTCTACTTTGAGACCGTCTACGTGTCTTGCAAGTCACAATAATGAATTGCTGACCCCTCGCCCTAGTGCACCTACATGCACAGACACACGCTTCACCTGTCAATGATGTCGCTAGCACAAGAAGACTGGGGCATTGTTCTCCTGGCCTTTATATAGGCCCTTTGGCTCTACCCGCCACCCCCATTGCCTCCTCCCCAAAGCCGCTCTGGGAACGTCCATGGAAAGTCCCAGTGCGTCATCACTCCGCCCTTTGTTTAACATCCGACGGTTTGAGCGTGGCACTACGCTACAATATTTATAATGGGCATACTGCTTTGGATGAGATAAAATAATATGCGGTAAGGTAATGGCACCAAAAGCTGACAGATTGAAGGAATAATTACTTGCTACTGGCTGGAGTTATTTACAACAATCTTTCGTCCTCAACAGAACAGAGACCTAACCTAAACCTCTTGTTGATTGTTATTAGTTTCTAAAGCTGACATGTAAGGGACCTAAAGATATCATGAATGAAAAATACATATTAATTTTAGTAAAGTATTAATTTTAATAATTATGATTAAATTTAATGTTACACAGAACACACGTGAGATTAAGTTAGATGTACAAAGTTATTTGGCTATCATAAATTAATTATTTCTTTTTAACATTAAGTGCTTTACTAAATACATATCTACAAAACTCCTTTACTGTTGCAATATAACTTCTTTTATTTACAGCAACTGTTACTTCCCCCAGCAAGACCTTACTGTACTGGCGAATTTTTGGGAGTGCCATATTACCAAAAATTGTAAAAAGGGCATATTAATTAAAATGTTTCTGCTTAGGTTTGGGTCCAATTAGACTATTAAACTTAAGAACCCTATTGACGACACGTTCTGCTGGTAAACACAATATAAAGAGTAAAAAATTATAATCAGAACCTGAAGTGGACACCATTGTAATCCTTTAATTGCCATCAAATATTCGAGAATCTAAATCTAACAATTTCCCTAATATTGAAGATCTAGACTCCAAGTATAAGTATGGTTGTGGAGGCATAGAACACGTCCTAATTCTTTTCTTGTTAACATCCTAACATACCAATACCATAAAGCAACCTCATTTCATATAATAGTCTAAAGAACAAAAACAAATTTCTTAAGCAATTTATGAGGATTTCATGGATTACCTAAAGTACACATGTCAAATCATATGTCCATCCAAGGTAAATCACTAGATTGGAATTAATTAACTTGTCACCTCCAGCAAAGGACAAGACTATTACTGCTACCTCTTGGTAAATCACACAAACTAGAATACTCATTTCATAAACAATTATCCTTGCATGTCAACTTTAAGTGACCTGACCTTATTTGGTGCCATTATCTCATTTGTTTTGAATAAATTGATTAAAAAGATTTAAAAACTACGTGAAAATAACATAACACTGGTACTACTTTAGCTTATTATCATTACTCTTGGGACTTTAACCATGCTCACAGAGATTAACTTATAATTGTTTTCATATTTGGATATTACATTGGGGTTTGAATGGTCAGGCTTACGTTGGAATTAGATTTCTACAGCTAAGAAACTTCAACAACTTTATAATCTGTTATTGTTTCTGAAAATTGTAGATAATTTTCTGTGTATCGTAAACATTCCTTTGTCCAAACTAATGTGTTTAAACCTGATCATGTTGTCTTTTATAGTAAATCTTTGATTAGTAAATTCCAATAGTCTAAAAAATTCCTTAAATCAGAGTTTATTAAGTTCGAGATTGAGAATGTGCACATCAATTTTGACTTTCATTGCAATAAGGTATTTAACATAATTTACATCAAATTCTTTCTTGTTATTTGGTATTAGACTTCTTTAGATTTAATGGAAACTATCAAGAAAATCTTCCTGCATCAAAATGAAACTTGTTAAATATTAAATATTTTATTAAACTCCATCATTGGTAATGAAGATCATAAAAACTGCAATGTTGTTTAACAATATAATAAATAACAATTGGTTTGTAAATTTAAGCGACACAGAAACTCCTTTAGAAAAAAAATGTCTAGTTTTGATTGAAAAATTAGTGTACCTTTTGTCATTGAAATATCTTTACCTATTTTAAACATCCTTAAGAATTTTGAATGGAAAAGAAAATATATTGATCAATGGCCATATTAACATAATAGATATAATGAACCTCATTTTTAAAAGATATGAATCATCCTTTGTTAAAAATCTTTAGGAAACCTGTTCATTTATTCATTCATCTAAATGCGATAAAAATTTGTCAACTTACTGCTTGCACTTGTGTGAAGAATGTGGTCATAGTACAATGGGAAATCTACATAGGTCTGTCGCACATAGTTTCAAAACCGAGGTGTTATCAATGATTTTGTGTGTTTATGTTGACTCAAGAGCCCCTGAACAGAAACTCTACGCAACCCGCCGCACCCTCAAGTATTCCACACCTCAATTCTAATTTCATTTGAAATATCTTATCTAATTCACACTTTGTAAACTTTCTTCTTACATTTCTTATAGATGCTTGTTAACAAAATCTAAAACTTTCAAATTGACATCAGTCTTTGCCTTGGTCTTGGATCAGTCTTGTTCTTTATCATTGGATGTTGCTTCTCTCTTCACTAATATTCTTCTTGAACTTGATTTTAAAAACAGATGTAATTTCATTGAAAAGAATACTAAACATTCGTAACATTAAATTCCTGTTTAATAACACTAGCTCAATGTTCTAAGAAGTTTTTTTCACCTACAAACCTTTGGTTTTCCAATTTCCTTTATCTCCTACCAAACTACTTACAAAAACTTCGTTTCAGAACCACAAGAGGATAATTCAGATACAAGATATTTGGAAGATTCCTTTTTCATCCCCTTGGGTAGCATGCTAGCTTTCTGTGAGATGGCAACAAGTCTTGTAGAGTGCGTGCGATGATTGTTGCCTGCATTAAAGTCAAATGCTACCCTTCACTTCGAGGCACATCTTCCTGACCCACCTCATCATCACCTGGATTTCTGCCACGATTTCATTATCAGTGATTTCTTTTTGGACTACCACATCACAATCCACATTCACATAGTCCGTGATATTCACATTTTTTGGCACATCCTATTTTTCGCAAGTTCAGTTTTTCATATCCCCTTTTTTGAATATTCCACTCTGTGATGACTTCTTGCACGTGAACTACTCCAGCTTTCCAAAAACAGTTCACAATAATGTTACATTCAATGATCTCATGCAGCGTTTATCATTTGCATGATTTCCAAAATGTTTATATTTACATCCCTCCCAGAGGCAATATTCCAAAGCCTTCCGCCGGACCATATGAGCATGATAATACTGCTTCACAGCATAGATTATGCCTTGATCCAGCGGCTACTGGACTGATATTGTACACGGAGGCAGGAACAAAACCTTCATTGTCTAAATGACGAGGTATACAATAATGGGAGGAGCAGTTATTTATAATGAGAAGAATTTGCATCTTTTCTGCCTTCATTCATCATTCCAAGCTCAATAACCATTCTTCAAAAATTACAGACGTCATCCATACATTTTTGTTGTGACAGTATTTACCAAGCTTGCCGCTCTTGGCTTTCCAAGCTTGCCGATGCTTAGTGGCTTCAGTTCATCAGACCCCATTGAGCTTGTGGATAAAAACCCGTTGAGTTTGTGCCTAAAAGCACAGTAACTCGTTCATTCGAGCTTTTCTGCCAACACATTCATTTTCCTTAAATTCCAATATTTTATTAGGTGGTAATTTATAAAACAATGCTGTTTCATTGACATTATAAATGTCCAACGATGAATATTCTTCATGGTGGT